TCACACACAGTTTACCAGCCCAGAGAATCGATATTCTTCTTGAAGTCAACCAATTCGCTACCAGCACAGCGGGTATTCTAAAATTCTTTTCTGATTTATAATATCGTTAATTCAGTTTGCAGACACCTATCTTACTGAAAAGTTCAAACTAGCAGGCATCTCCACTCCGGAATATCATCAGGCTCTTTTGTGGAAGGTACATAACAAAGACAGCCGGGCGGATGAGAATTCTCAAAATGTATGATTTAATTATTATTTAACTCCTTTGCATAGGGTCCGGGTTTATGGTCTACACAGTATTCAACTGACTATGTCCCAAAGAAGCAAGCAACAGGTATCCATGACGAGAAAAGATTGCATGAGGTCTCAAAAAGGCAACATTTTCCTATTTATTATTTCACTGTCACCAAGTTTGCAAGGATATTGCATATTCAGTCCTTTCGCAAGTTAGGTTCCAGCAAAACTGGGCTTTAGCTCAGTGGTGCATAAATTGCTCCCTCCCCGTCTGATTTAAATTACGGTATATGCATTTGAAGAAAAAGAGGGTATAACTGATCCTGAGCGTGTCTTTTGCTATATGAACAGAGTACCCGAAAAGTATCTTCACAGAAGATGGTAGTTGTTAAAAATGGCGAACGAAACGCCAGCTTAGTGTCGCATGTCCCCTTGCTGACTTACTTAGGCCAAATTAACATATGCAAGACGTTAATATAGACTTTGTCAGTCACATTTAATTCAGTAGGCGGATTGTTATACGACACCATTTCAACAGTTTGAGTCTTTTTGGACCTTGATAGCAGTTTTAGATTTTTTGTATTATGAATATGTGCAATACCAAGCACCAAAACATATAGGCTCGTGTTTAGCGTTTTGTGTGTCCTAAAAATCCTGCCCCAGTGACATGCAGGTAGTAAAGTCGAGAAAGGAGGAATTCAAAAATAACAGTGCAGTTAGTAGTAATACGAGCACGAACATTCTTTCATTACACTTTCTGTCCTGTATAATTCAAAGTTCTGATTGTCCTCATTATCAGCACCGCTTGACCTCAGTAGAATGGGTCTCAAAGAATCAAGTGGATTCTGCGTCAACAACAAGACTTCCGAAACTCTCTCCGGACGCCCGGACTCATGTTTCGCAACGTCAGGTCCAAACTGGCTAACTCCAAGACGATCAAGCAACTCCGTCTACCAGATGGACTTCCAGCCCTACAGACGCAAACAAGTTGATGCAAATGAAAGTGGTCCGGCCAAACTGATGTCTGATGGCTTCATCGTAAACAACAAAGCCCAACAGGACTTTGTGCCAAGACGAACTGATAAGGCGAGTGCGCTTTCTTATTTTCCTATTTTCTTATTTTCCTAATCCGTTTTTTCACTGCATAGTGTGAAAAAGCCTAGTGCAGGAAATTGGTGAGATGTTCGTATTAAAGCACGTGCGGGCTACTAGTGGCAAGTTTCTTTGAGTTGTGTACAAGGCAAGTAAATGTTTGCAAACTTCCTAATGTTTGATGCATCTCTGGATAGTTTTGCAATGATACTAAGAAGGTAAGGAGGCTTACCTCACGGGAGGCAGAAAACAAATCCAGCATAATACACGGAAGATATACCAACTAAAATGGTTATTAACGCAGTGAAGCTATTTAAAACGAAACCCTTAGCTTCCGGCAAGTGTCACGTCCCTGAAAGCCGCACTTTCATAAACTCGGCCACCTAGTGTGGTTGGCTTCTCAGAATAATCAAAATCGATTTCGCTTTGCCAAATTTTGTAGTCATGTTTTATTGTATACCAAGCAGTGGCATTCCTCTGGAGTGAACATAAGTCTAAAGGCGCATTTTAATAGCTTACCTGATGATCGCCAATGTCTTATTCTAAGACACTGTTCTGTTCTGCAGCCGGACTTAAATCAGGACCTGTCAATGCTGCTTTCAAGTAAAATTTTGTTCAACTAGAAGTCATTAAGGATGATAAGCGCCGACGAGTTTTTAATTATGATATAGGCAGAACGTCTGGATGACTGCCAAAATCTATTGATCTCC